TTGTTCATAGTAAAATATGAAAAAAAAATCTTTAAAAAAATACAAAAACATTTAATAAAAAATTAAAAAAAAATAAAAAAAAAAAAAAAAAAAATATATATATATATTTTTCATACTGTCACCAGTCAGTGTCCCTGTTCACCGCCATGCCAGTTATATGATGACGCTGTACTGCACTGGTGACAGTATGTACAAAAAAAAAAAAATAGTGAAAATAATTTTTTTAATTTTTTAATTTTCCGAAAAATTATGACAAAAAAAATACAACTTCAAAAAACTCGCCATTCCTCTTATGAAGTACGTCCAACTGTCTACTGTGCAAAAAGGGGTCATTTGGGGGATATCTGTACTATTCTGACATTCTTGGACCTCAAGAAATTAGATTGGCTGTCAGTACTTCAGGATTGATCAATATTCAGATCTATCCCATAGTTTGTGAACTCTATAACTTTCCTACAAACTAAATAATACATCCTAATTTGGGTTATTTCACCAAAGACATGTAGCAGAATACATCTTGGCCTAAATTTATGAAGAACAATTATTTATTTGTAAATTTTTATAACAGAAACAAAGAAAAATGTGGGTTTTTTTCAAAATTTTTGGTCTTTTTTTGTTAATTTAGCAAAAAATAAAAACCCAGTGGTGATTAAATACCACCAAAAGAAAGCTCTAGTTGTGTGAAGACACAGATTCTCGGATTCCTTTCTCTGCAGCTTCTGAAGATAAATGAAAAGGAGACAGACGCTCCTGTTTATTCATAAACTGAAGCATAGTAAACACAGTTTAGTATGATTCAATTATGAATGAACAGAGTGAGCGAGCAGCACCAATCACTAACTTTGTCCATTCAGAAAAGGAAAAGTAAATTACATATTTACCGTCCACTTCCACCGCTCTCCATCCTGACACATCCCCCTGTGATGCTACAGGAGGCGGCCCCAGGCACACGGGGCGGAATCAGATGTGGGCAGGACAGGGAGGGGGATCGGTTTGGAGGGGAACAATTACAGAAGGATGCCCTGTGTCTCTCCCTGTAGCAACTAAAAACTGGTAGGAGAGAACCGGCTTTCAGCTGCTGTAGACACAGCGCATCCTTTTGTAATTGCCCCCTGCCCTGCCACACCAATTTTCCCTGCTGTCCGGGCCCCCCTGTATGCCTGGGCGCCCTACAGAAGGACTGATGGTATCCCCCTATTTGTGGCCCTGGAGGTCAGGGATGGCTACTTTCAAAGCTCTTTTAGTGCTTGTTAAGAATATGTGAATAGTATAAAGGCTAAGTCCACCTTTAAAAACAAATAAATACACATAATTTTAAAAAAAATATGCATTAATTATTTTTTTTCACAGGAGACTGCAAAGCCTGCAGGCTCCTGCAGACCTTTTCTCCGGTTCTCTGTCCATAAGGAGGTATGGGTTTTTACTTGGATTGCTGGAGGAAGTGTCAATAGACTATGAGTATGCTGATCACCGCGTGCATGTTCCATTGAGAACTATAAGTCTTTCTGCCACAGTGGCAGGCAGGGTTTGTAGCTCATTCATTCACAAATCTCTGAGAATGAATGATATCGCTGTGCGGGTACAAGTTAACAAGTGTACAAGTTAACATGGACAGCAGTCGTGTTTGTATACATCACCAGGGTTTCTCCATGGTGTTGCATTTTATATATCATGTCATGGTTAATAGGCAACCTCACCCCATTCAAGTCATTCAGACCATGCCGCAACTGCATCAAACATAAAAGAAATATGTCACCAGCACACTGACAAGTTTGTTTCAAAGTGCAAAGCGCTATATTCTTGTATAATCTCACAAAAAAGCAACATTTTGGGACCATGTAGGGACACTTTCTCAGGTATGTGTGGTCACATGCGTTGTCCTGAAACATTGCTTTTTTGTGGCCATATAAGAATAAAGAAGTTTGCAACAAACTGACGACATAATTCATCCATGTTGTATACTGTGACCAGTTAGGAGTCCTTGCAACGCTCTTTAATCACATGGTTGATTTCAGTATGGTGTGTGCAAGAGGAATATGCCACACAAAACAATTGCATCTAAGGCGTGTAGTTGCAGCGTGTTCTGGCTTGATTTCAATGTAAAATTCCACAATTTCCAATGTAAAAAAGGAGCAGGCATTCTGAAGTTGGAATATCACCCTGTATGCTGTTAAACTGCCTCTGAAAAGTAAACCACCACTAATCAATTTCCAGATTTGTCTACAAACTTTCCGGATGAGTGAACAAAACCATAACATCAATAATTGACATAGTCTTGGGCACTGGTGCATTGTACCTTGCTGCATGTTCCAGGCTAGTGATTCAGAATGTAATGAAGCCATAGAGGTTGACAGATTTTATATATACTGTGTATATATATATATATATATATATATATATATATATATATATAAAACTTTTTTTTTCATTGCAGAATGTGGAAGTCGTCCTGGTCTAACAAAACCAAACAAGATAGTTGGTGGATTTGATGCTGTCAAAGGGGAAGTCCCATGGCAGGCCAGTCTGAAGGAAGGCCCACATCACTTTTGTGGAGCAACAATAATTGGAGATCGGTGGTTGGTGTCTGCTGCTCATTGCTTCAACCAGTATGTACCCTGATTAAAGTCAAGTTTATGTTGGAGCATCTAAATAGTGTAACAAAGTGTTTGTTAATCATGTGAAAATAAATTTCTGGCAGTAATTCTCATTGCAATAATAAAAAAAACTAATACATATATGTATCATATTAGTTAGTGTTTACTTCCTGTTCCTTAAAGCGGAGCTCCACCCAAAAGGGGAAGTTAATGCTTTGGCCCCCACTCCCCATTAAGGATTGGCACCTTTGAGGAGCGGGTAGCCGAATTTGACAGGTACCGGCTCCCACTTCCGCTGTGATCGCCAAGGCAATCGGAAGCGGAAGTTGTCATCACCCCCTTCCTCCCTGTAGTTTCCTAGGACACGTGACAGGTCCCAGAAGACTATGGGGCTATTCACAAAGTGCAGTGCTTCTCAGGCATGCTCAGTGGGCACCCAACTGTGAAGCTGCAAGCTGTCACAGCCGGGTGCTCACACTAAAGATGTCGGCGCCAGGGAGAGAAGATGGCCGGTGAAATCAGCGGTGGAGAGGACACCACTGGATCGAGGGACAGGTTAGGTTACTGTATTTTAAAGGTCAGCAGCTACAGTTTTTGTAGCTGCTAACTTATATTTTTTTTTTTCAACTGGAACTCCACTTTAAGTTTTATTTTTAATTCTTTGGAGTTGCATGACACACAAGTGGTATATCTTCCCCGCTTGGAACTTAATAATTAGTGTCCACTTTCAACTCTTAAAGCGGAACTTAACTGTGCCACAAACTGAAAACATATATAATTCATTTTTAATATTCGCATCAAATTCACTCATCCATTTATGTCTCCATGCTTTATTTTGCTGAGAAATCACGTTAACAAAAACCCCTAGCATTTTTAGCCACAACCATTTTGAGTAAGGGCAGATGATTCATGTAGCATTTACTTCCACAATCCATCTGCCCATAGTTCAGGCATGCAGGCAGCACTGTGTGCTTAGCTGAGAAAACCCCTCCTCCCCTCCTCCAGATGAAAGAAAAAAAATACCCATGAATACCCCTGGGATGCATGACATCATTTTCGCCTATGCCAGAAAGCAGGAAGCAACTGATGAAAAGTAAAAACATTTTTTAAACAAGTAAATACATATAGCACCCTCCTAGATAGGTGCTAGGATAAGTAGTAGGTTATAGTTGATTCCTCTGCTTAACATGAAAACTGTTAGGAAGATCTAATTTGGCTGCAATTGTTTTAGTAGTGCTTGCTCAATGTCTTCAAGTACTGCTGGTTCTGCCCCTTGCTTTCTCAGTATCCACGTAAACTAGGAAGGTTCTGGATATATAGGTGGAACTCATGCAGAACACAGTAAGAATATTAATGCCACTCCAGCCAGTCTCAGGGAGTGCAGCCCTGAAGGATGCTGGGAGAAGGTATTTAGTCTTGGGGCATACTGAGCTCTTGGTCATTCCTGGTGAGGATTGCACCAGCCTGGGAGAAGGCATGCTGCCTCCCCAGGCACCTGCTGCCATGTGGTCTCAGTTGGGCGACCTGAGAGCCTGATGTAAGAGAGAGAGTGATCTTGGTTCTTCAGAAAGCTGACTGAGGGGAGCTGTCTGTCAAAGTTCTGTCTGGTATTACTGGAGGGCATCGCTTGGAAGATTGGAAGGAGATTACCATTCTGTCCTTGGGCCTTGTAAGTATAGACATTGTGTGATCTTGGGGACTCTGCGTGCTTTGCTAACCCTCTGGTGCTCTATAGTCAGCATGGGTCTGAAAAAGGGGACATCAGCTGGTGTCCTGAAGAGCACTGTTATTTTTAACGCCTTTCAGACATTGGAACTTTGCTCCAGGTTGTTATTTAAGGAAGTTTTGTCCTCAACTGTAACTAGTTCTATTCCTGGAATGTTCTACTAAATTCCCCATCCCTACCCAAGTTCTCCATTAATAAAACTACAACAACAACAACCCCTAGACTGATCATTGGAGACAATGAGCGAAAGTGTGTGTGTGTCTGACTACGGCGAAGTTTAGGGAAGACCTGGACATCACTACAGTGGCTCCTACTGGGTATGGCCACATATACTGTAATCTACTTTCTTATCTAAATATTCAGGCTAGCAGCATAAGGATTACAAATAGGTAATGTTGATTGAGATATTTGTGTTCTACTTTAAATCCCAGGCATTGGCCCACACACACACACTTGCACATACACACACTGTGCTTAGCAGTTCTTGTGTAGGTGTACAACACATTTTAAGAATGAAACTCTACACCACCTGTAGGATTTTCAGTGAGTAAATTAATTAATTTATAAAATGCTAATAACATACACAGTGTATTTGCTCTCCTGCACTGCAATAAGCTGTCTAGTGAACCTATCAAGCATGGCTGTACTAATCCTGTATCTAATTCACACACCCTATCAAAGTGAAGCTCCACCCAAAAGGGGAAGTTCTGCTTTAAGGACTGCTCCCCACTAAGGGTTTGCACCTTTGGGGAGGCGGGGGGGAGCAGGTACCCGAATTTGACAGGTACCCGCTCCCACTTCCGGTCTGATCGCCAAGGCAATCGGAAGCTGAAGGTGTCCTCCCTCCCTCCCTGTATTCTTTTGGGACACGTGACAGGTCCCGGAAGACTAAAGGACCATTCATGAAGCGCATCGCTACTCACGCATGTGCAGTGGGTACCCGGCTGTGAAGCCACAAGCTGTCACAGCTAGGTGCCCACACTGAAGATGCCGGCCTCCTGGAATACAGGACGGCCAGTGAAACGGGCTGCAGGAGACATACCGTGGGACCGAGGGACAGGTAAGTGGCTGTTTTTTAAAAGTCAGCAGCTACAGTTTTTGTAGCTGCTGACTTTTATTTTTTGACAGGGTGAGTGGAACTCCGCTTTAAGTTGTATATATTGAACATTATGGTGTTGGGCTATTACTTCATCTCTAGCAGATAACCAAATCCAATTGAATCCTCTCTATATAATACTAAGAAATATTTTGTGTAAATATACATCCATGTACATATAAAGCAATAGTTTAAAAATAAAGTGTTCTTTGCCAATCCCTCTCCAGTTAATAATTAACATGCCTTGTTTTCAGATTTTCAAGTAGAAACTTCAGTGTGTTAAAGCTGAAATGTAGGCATGGTTGCTTGCATACTTTAGAAGACTTGTAGTGCAGCTCAAAGCTTGAGGCATGTAGTGTTTCCCCATTGGTGGGGGAACTGGTGTCGACTATCACTGATCCAGAAGTGCAAATATGAGAAGTTTAGGACATGGCTCACCCAGCCTGATGCATGTAAATGAGTGTGTTGGCCTCAGCCAGCACAGCTCCAGTGGCCGCTGGCTACTTTTTTTGCATAGGTACATTAGTCCAGCTTGGTCCAGTGTAAGTGTGCATGTACCATACCTGATTGATCCATGTGGAAGCTGGAAATCACTATAGTAGGCACTTCTACTATAATGATCTCCACTAGCTTCCAAGTCCTGTGCTGAGCGGCTGCTCTTCTGCAAAACGAATACAGAGAGTTGCAGGGGGTTTCTCAGTGAATGCAAAGTGTTCTCAAATTGGCACCCATGCCTAGCCAGTGACCTCCTGTGCTCAGTTGCTGGTCTTGGGACCTGGAAGCCAGTGGAGATCACTGTAGTAGTAGTGTCTACTAGAGTGATTTCTAGCTTCCACAGAGGCTGGCCAGGTCTGGCATACCCACCTGGACCAATGTAACTATGCAAAAACACTATATATAAACTTATTTTTAACTTTTAAAGTTTTAAAAGATCTTAACATATAACTTAACTTTTAAACTAGAGAACCAGAAAACATGACTTGAAAAGACCACTATTAGTAATCCTTTGTCTACCACTGGTTTCTTCAGAACTAAACTGGACCAAGTTACTGCCCATATGGGTTCCACCGCACTTAATGGAGCTGACAGCATGGCTGTGAAAATCAATTTCAAAAGGGTGATCCAGCATCCTCACTTTAATCCACTGACCTTGGACTTTGATGTGGCTGTAGTGGAGCTATCAAGCCCTTTGACGTTTAATAAGTATGTACAGCCTGTTTGCCTTCCATCAGCTCTACAGAAGTTTCCAGCTGGTTGGAAATGCATGATCTCTGGATGGGGCAACATCAAAGAAGGCAATGGTATGTATATTGTAAACACTTGAAAATTATATGGGGAATGTTTTGGTCTAAAAAAGGGCAATGTGTCTTTTTATATACATGCCAAGCCCTCTTTTGATGCTAGGGCTTTTCTGTTGTGTATCTGATCTGTTTTTTATTTGATTTCCAGAAATGTTTTTTTTTTATTGTACGTCAAATTTCATGTTAAAGACCAGAGAAAGCATCTTTGTTCTCTTCAACAATAGGATTTACAACGCTTATCTTTTGTACAGTGTCCAAGCCAGAGGTTTTGCAAAAAGCCTCCGTGGGGATAATAGACCAGAAAATTTGCAGTGTCCTCTATAACTTTTCCATTACTGAACGGATGATTTGTGCAGGTTTCCTTGATGGTAAAGTGGATTCTTGTCAGGTAAGACTAAATTGCAAATCAAGAAAAATGCCTGCACTCTACCTTCTCTACTGACTCCGTTTATTTTTTAAAGGGCGATTCTGGGGGACCCTTGGCATGTGAAGAGAGCCCAGGTGTTTTCTTCTTGGCAGGCATTGTAAGCTGGGGTATTGGATGTGCCCAGGCGAAAAAGCCAGGGGTTTATAGCAGAGTTACCAAACTCAAGGACTGGATACTGGACACAGTGGCTCCTGTACTGAGGACTACCGATAGCGGTATGAATCTTCCAAAGTCTTCTGTTCCTTCAACAACTCCCATGACTACCACAAGGGCATCCACTATCCAACCACCAACTTCCCCTGGTCGCAGGACAACAACGGTATCTAGGACTACAATGTCTCAAACAAAAAGTACAAGAAGCACTCCAAAATCAACAACTAAAAATACAACCAAAAGGACAACTACTGCAAGGACTAGCACTACATCATCAAGGATCACTGAGCCACCCAGACCCACACAAAGACCAGGTGAGGTAAAGAATAAAACATTTAAATAGTCTAAAAATGATTTAGGTTGGGTTCCTGCAGTCCCAGTTGAGCAAAACACAGACACTATGGATAGTACATCACACATTAATATATGTTGCAGCAGTTTTTATTCATTTTGAATTAAATAAATAAACACACCTTACCCACTTTCAGGAATGTAATGCCTGCTAGAGAGCTGTTAGTTTGCCTGAGTGCATAGAGGGTGCAATTTGAAATGAAATAACTGGAAAGGTAAGAAATATTTGTAAACAATTTAGGTATGGTGTGTGAATGGGAACACATAACAAACATATAATGGGGGGTTCCTAAATTTGACCTTAAAGGGTAAAATAAAATTTAAGCTACAGTCCACACTGGTTTGCTGGTGTATATTAAGTGCACCTGTGCGCTGGCATGTGATGGTACTGCCCACTGAACATGACAGGGGGTATGATTTTGGCACAACCATGAAGCAAAGCATTGTGAACGCAGCATGTGTATGTAATGCTTGCCCCCTTAAGGGCTGCTGGATTTGATAGGTCCCCCTAAGCTCTGCATGGCCAGACAACATGCATTTTCCACATCTTCACACATAGTATAAAACAGTCATCGAGCTTGTTTTAGTTGTTTGTATTAGGGGTTAGCAATTTGAATGGGGTCTAGGAGTATATGGGATACCCAAGGAACTGTAAAACTTGAGTACAAACGTCTTAGCAAATTTTACACTGTACAAAAATGTGGATCAGAAATAAATAGCACTGTCTTTTTAAGGAGCACTGAAGTCTCCTTGATGTACCTCCTCAGACCCCAGATGAATCCTTCCTCCTTCACCCGGCTACACTGAGTATATCCCTGGTCAAGGGATTCCAGAATCTGCCAAATAAGTAGTTCTAGGACCTAGGTGGGTCTTGCATTTGACTGCCCTCTCCCTTTATCTGTCTCACGGGGTGTAAAAGTACTCACACTATCCTGTCCTATAGGCTTGGTGGGTGTGACGGGAGTCACTTTGGGTAGGGGGCCCATGGAACCCAGCTCACTTTGGAGAGGTGGGGAGACCCCTGTCTCAGCTCCCCATATCCCTATTAGGTGTAAATCACCCTGTGCCTGTTAGGGGTACAGGGTGATCTGTCCTAATATTGGGGTGGGGGGTTGTTGATTGTTTAATGCCATGTGGTTGCATCCCATTGTTCTATTGTGTGTCTTGCTTGGGAGCAAACTATTATGGAATGTATGTGTTTGTGTATTGGCTTGGTGGGGGGTGTCTCCAGCAGCCTCCCTCTGATGGGACTGTCTGTTGGTGTGTCTCTTGTTACTAAAGGTAGATTGCCCTGCCCTGTGTCATTATGCAGGGAGGGGGGATTGTCCCCTTGAATGTATATATCTTGTATCTGTGTTAAAATAAACTAGTCTATTTCCTGGTTTACTTCAAATCTGTCTGGTGTCTGTGTCGGTGTTTGGGCGGGGAAGCGGTATTATACTCTGCACAGGCTGCGACGGTTCCATTACAGTGGGTGATAGCTGCGTTCAGGTCTTACCCTGGGCTGGCTTCTTCCCAGCTGACAGGCTGTCCTCCCCAGGAGACTTGGCACAGTGGAGATCCGCCTGTCCAGTAATCTAATCAGCCTGTAGGTAGGCTCTCCTCCCTGGGGCCCCTTCCCAGGCTCCACTCCAGCATTTTCCTTCAGTCCATCTTCTACCCGACTCCAACTACTCTACTGCACAGGCTTTCTCACATGTAAGGGTTGCTCTTAGCCACCATGCCCAGCCTCCTGCCTGGAGGTTGGCCAAGTTCCCTTAAAGTGTTACTAAACCCAGGACCATACATTCACCATAGTACACACAACATGGAAATGCAATTAATTTTTTTAATATAAACTGCTAAATACCTTTTCTCATCAACAGTTAGTCTTGTGACTTTAATCAGTGTCCAGCAGAACACTAGATAAAGCTTGTAGGAGGAGTTTTCATTCCCCCCTGATTGTCATATGAGGCTGCATAACCCCTGACCCTCTGGCTGGACAGCGCTGATTGGCCCTGTGCTGACCACACGCACTCTCTCAAGAAAAAAAAAAAATCTAAAGCAATAAATACCAAACTGAGCATGTGCAGCTTGCCCCCAAGGCTCTGTTCTATCACGAGATGGACTGGGGACAGTAGAAGAAGGGGAGGAACAGAGAAGACAAGATCAAACAACCTTTTTACACAATGTGGAGGATTAACCCCTAAAGTTCCACAGTGAGTATAACAAGCATACTTTACTACATATACAGTACAGACTGATTTTAATGTTGTGGGTTTAGTAACACATTAAACATTAAATCTAGGCCTCCTCCTCTCCTCCAGAAAGTTCCAGAAGTTTCTGGAAGGATTGGAGGGCCCCAGAAGCCCTGACCAGTACAGCCTCCCAGCCTCACTCCTCACTCCCAGGCCTCTAACTAAAAAAAACAAATCCTATCTACCTAGAGGGTGCTACATGTATATCCCCATCCAGTCTCTGTGCTAGGTTATGAGGCTTTCGGGTGGCAAAAACTGTGGTCCAACCTCCTATTTTTGCTGCCTGCCTGGCTGCAATTGTGAAAAAGACCATATAATAAGATCTAAATGTTTTTGTACACCTTTATTTCAAAATGTTTTTT